TTGTATCAATGTGGACTCTGTTGCGACACGTTCTCAGCTCATTGTAATAATGAATATTGTCTGAAACGAACCAATTCAAACAATGAGCTGAGCATGTGCCACAACAGAGCCCACAATGATACAAGAATTGAAATACTTTCCGAAAAAAAAATAAAAGATCAAAATTTAGAAAGTGATATGTAATATCATTCTTCAATTATGTTGTTGTCCAAAGATCAAAGAATCGATATTTATTTACCGGAATACATTGTTTTATTCAGAATTGCACGGCGAATTTTTTCGGAAAAGTTCAAGTCTGGACGATGGAAATGGACAAAACACAAATGGAGATATCGTGGAAATACGGGAGTACCATTTTTATGGAACACCCATTAGCTATCAATTTGTTCAAAGGGAAGTGTTTGATTGTGATTGTCCCTGGACAAGCATAGAGAGTAGTTAAATCGGGTCCTCAAGCATTCTAGACCCTTGCTTTTCCAATCGATAGAGAGGCAAGTATACCGATGCCGATTTTTAGTGTGTTCAGTTTTCTTGTCTGCTTGAACATCTTTTATAGACCCATTTGATCCATCTGTTACAGGTGTTTCACATGCCTTCTCATCTCTCTTAGATAATTGTGTATGTGCGTATTATCGTTTTGTGTTCTGTTCTTTCCTCTTATTTTCGTTTCTTCCTGGACGGGCAGCAGTTTTTCTATTGTTTTCGTCCGGTCATTTGAGAAGAAAATGCAAGTTGTGAGGGCAGCACTGCTCATACTAGCTTATGGATTATTGTAGATGAATTAGTTTATCTTCTCTCTTTTTCACTTGCATAGATGCTCCGTTCTACCATTTCAATCAATTTTCGCTCCTGCAAGGGACGTCCTCCAAATGATGACTCGCTTTTTCCTCGAAATATGCATGACTATATGCAGTTCATTGCGCTGATTCCGAATATCAATGTCCTAGCGGCCCATATGATTTTCTATGTTTTATGCTACAACCACCAATCATCTTCTAATAGAGGTGTTTTTCAGCAAATGTTTTTCGATTTCTAAGTCGTTTACTATGTCTCATTAGATAAAATATCCTCAAATATACTTTTTTTACAGACACTTTCACCTTCAATTTTGAATATTAAATTTTATTATAAAGCAGCGAAGTAATTCGTAAATTGCCTACAAATAATTGTCTGACATTTATTTTCATTTCTTCGTTTATTTACAAACTAATAATAACAGTACTATATTCTACAAAATTGATCACAATTGAAAAAGTACAAAAAACACATATTTGAACTGACGATTATTTTACTTTTTTATTGTCTATTATTAAGCTAATTAGTATTGTTTCTGCTATCCACATTGATACATTGCCGATAGATTTCCGAAACAAGTGGTCAGTTGAGCGAGGTTATGTAAATCAATACATAAGATTCATTATTTCATTAAATGAAAAGATTTAAATCTAAAACAGCACTTTTGTATATTTGATCTTTCCCTATATTACAATGCACCTTAGTAACTGACATTAAAGGCTAAAGTGTCTTTAAAAAAAGGTATTTTTGGTGATATTTCATCTAGTGACACATAATAAACGCATTAGAAATCGAATTTGATGAAAAAGATCCCTATTAGAAGAGGATTGGTGGTTGTGGTATAGAACCTAGAAAGGTATATGAACCGCTAAAATTCTGATACTCGGAATCAGTGTAATGAACTGCATACAGTCATGTATGTTTCGAGGAAAAAGCGAGTCCCACTTAGGGAACTTCCCTCATTAGTCTGTTTTGCTTTCTGTCTCCGGCATTTGCCAATGATGGTCTCTCTATATTTCTACCAATCACTATCGATGACAGCATTTTTTTTGACTGGTCTGCTCCATTAGATATCCAAACCATCGTTAGCATGACCTCATGTGAAATGATGTAATAATCCAATTACATCTCCGTATGCTTGTGCCTTCCGATCTTCTGCATTTATACACCTTCTCTCTCTGTTTTTCCTTTTTAGTTATGATCAAGCGGTTTTCATCAAATCATAAACTTTCATTCAGCAGACTTTCCTCCATTTTTTGATTTTCTACAGAGAGCGACTTGGCGAGAACAAGTTTTGAACCAGGAATCGAACCTAGCAAAAACGTTAAAAAAATGAATTAAATTATATTTTAAAGTGAAATATGAATATTACTGCATAAGAAAAAGAACGGGAACACCATCAATTTTTTTTTTTAAAAGCAAAGAAACAAATTTTGGGGTAATCTTTCTGACTAAAAGTACGTAACGAATATGGACAAAATCAATCTAGAAAGCAAAGTGAAATCATAATTGTGGAGCAAGAAGGATTACAAGTTTGTAGAGATCGAGGAGGAGCATTCCAGGAGATTGTTGATTTTGTGACTATCCTTCTGATTGGTTTATGTTGATGAACCGGTATTTTAAAAGTACCATCGAAACCACCTAGGCCATTTATGAATGACTCACAGTCCTCCTCGCTGTCTTCGAAAACAATTATGCCTTCATATAGATGCCTGTTACGAAAAAACGTTACATGGTAATTGTCTTCTTCCACGGTAAGATCACCATCGTCTGTTTGGAAAGTAGTTCGCTGTTCCATTCCGTTAAGATCAGTAAAGGAAACAACACAATGAAGAGCCATTACGATCTAAAACTGAGAAAACGTGATTAGTTTTTAGCATACAAAGAAGAATTTCAGAGTCATTTAGCCTTTGCCAGCGACTTTCGAAACTAACTGGTGCGTTCGACGAAGGTTTACTTTTTCCTGAATTCTGTCTGCGTCTACATACTGAATCAACGTTATACCTGAGATCTACACAGGAAAGGTCCGTAGCTACTCCTGTTGGTCGCTCCTTTTTCCATTTAGCTCGATACGCTCTTCTTCTGCGCCAACGGGTTGGTTGTTCCTTTTGCAGTAAAATCTGTTTCACTCTTTGTTGTTCACCTATGTTTTTCTTTTGCTGCTATTTTTACAGGAAAATAGTGGCATCACATGATTTAAACTGCACATCAAAACTTTGAAGTCTTACATAAACATCAAATATTCCAAGTCACGTAAGACAAAACCAGAACTAAGTCGCTAGCAGTACTTTGCCATCTCCTACTATGCAAACCTATTCGAAAACGAAAGTCACAGATCAGGTTATTTGTTTTTAAGCTTGGTTTTGGACATCTTTAAAATAAAGCTTTACTTAGTAATTAACTTTTAATAATAAAAAATTTCAAATTTAACATTACGATTAAAAGATGAGGGAAAGAAAGACAAATGATAGCTAACTACAGAAATCGTCGCAAACATTCAAAAAATAGATTTTTTCTTTACAGTGGGAAAAATAAAATTAAGACAGAAAAACAAAAATGGCTTCAGAAAACATTTACATTAAGGTAAAGTAAATTCCTTAGTAAATTAAATCGTGGACAAATAACTAGTCATTCATGCTCAAGTTCATATTCAATTTCTGTACATAAAAAAAGTTATAAAAAGGACTAAAAAATTTTCTTTTCATAGTTTCACACAATAGTTTAACAATAATAGTCGTGCTTTTGTTTAAAGCATTGTTTAAGGTTGAATATATTAGAAAAATATCGTTACGTAGAAATTATTTTTTTGTTTTTCTTGGAAGGAATGTGTAACAACGGGTATTTATATAACAGCTGATGTAGAATATTTAAAAATTTCGACTGAATTAGATGCGATGGTAGAAAAAAAATATTTGGCTTTTATTAAGTACAAATTGTTATCTGGACAAAAGTAGCACACGTCACACCGTTATTAGTATCAAATCAAGACAAACACCGTAAATTGTAGAGTTTTATTTGTTAGAAGCTCATGATATGTGGTGATGATTTTGTGAATGAAAATCAAAAAGTAGACCTTTTTTTTCTAAGTTATTTAACATAAAAAAAAGAATAATACCGGGAAAACAATTCACTATTCTGTTTTTCGCTGAAAAATTATTTCAAAGTCTAGAAACAGTACAAAAGACACCCACATCTTACTTTCCAACGGATGTAGTGCATTTAAAACAACGGAAAAAAAATGATATAAAATATTAGCATTATCATATAATTTTTGTATGATAATTTAAAATAAATGATCTCATTCGTCTTCTTTCAGTTTGATACGAAAAACTCATTCATAGTTTTCCTTTTCAAAAACAAACATATATTTTTTTCTTACTGATATAATTTTTCTTTTCATCATAATTCTATTCAAAACTAAATACAATAACTATCTCTTTCTTGTTTCTTTAAAATGAATTATATACTGAAAACTGTTACAACTCAGATTCTTTAGTACACTGGTACAAATTAGTTAATTTATTAGACTAGTGGCTCAAAAAATATCGGGTGATATAATTGTAATACTTTCACTCATTATTTTCAAGTAGCGCTCAAAGAGTCTCCTCATTGACTTGAAAAGCGTCATGTTTGTGACAAACAAATACATTTCGTTTTGTTGATCGTGTTTATCTGTTTAAAACATGATGTTTTTCAAGTAAATGGCATCCTTAGTTTGTAGATGACTGTATGCGTGAAATTAGAGCTTTTCTTATGTATGTAAAAACAGCCGAATACTAGAAAAAAGAATTAATCAAATAACAAATATAGTCAAGAAAAGCTAGCAATTACTTTTTATTCAAACAAAAACAAGAAAATCCTTATTTAAAACAATGTTTACGAAACAATGAAACATGAAAAACACAGTCAATAATAAACAGTACTAAAAATATAATAATCGCCAATACTCATTTGTCACTAGTTTCTACTGACAAATCGGCATAAAAGAATCGAAATAAGTATAATTCATCAATTTTCATCATCCTCTTCATCATCCACTGGAATCACATTTTCTGTGCTCTGTTCTTCTTATGCGCTACCAACACCTTTAGTAGCAAGTTCACGAAGTTCACTAAGAGTTTTCGATCGTTTAAAACGTTTCCCAGTCGTACCATCTGGAACAAAACAAAAATAGGCAGTGAGTTTTGTTTTAAAATGAAGAATTTTCATTCATAACTACCATCAAATTCTGCGGCCGTTTTCCGTCTTAAACCTTCAATCCTTTCACTTTCTTCATCTGCCCATTCTAGAACATGTCTTCTACCATACAAATGAGTACTATGACATAAAGCATCGAATGCATTCTAAAATGAAATATAATTTGTTTTTCAGAAGAAAAAAAACGATGCTTTTTTTTCTTCTAAGTACCTTTGCATCATTTTTACTAACAAAATCGGCAAAACCAAAGCCTCGATGATGTGTGCCATTGACTTTATTTTAGGGTGAGGGTGAACAAATTTAAGTTCACCAAATACAAAAAACAAAATAATTAGAGTTTAAAAAAGATTTGTAGTTTCATTCTCACTTGAATAATTCTCGAATTTCTCTGACATTTGCTTGAAACGGTATGTTTCTAATAAGAATTTTTGTTGTTTGTTGTTTCTTTTCTAATTGACGTTTTCGTTTTGTTTTCACATTTGAACTAAAATAAAAGCAAACATCTTAATTAATTTTCCTCGAACAATACTCTACGCATCTTACGCTAGTTTCAATGTTCGTTCAGATTGTTTTAATTCTAAATTATGTCCATTCAATTCACTATTTTGTAAACGTTTTAATGCTTCATCAACAAATGTTTTTGATTTAAATTCAACAAAACCATAGCCCATTGATAAAAATGTTTCAGGATGTTTTAGATCTTTTTTTTTGCTATGAATACTTTACATGGACTGATTGATGAATTAAAATTAAGATTTTTAATCTCTGAATAAAAAATCATATTGATTGTAAAAAAGTCTATTTACGGTATTTACTACGAGTACAAATTATTTTATCTAGGTGAAAGTAGATATTTCGATAGGAGAATTAAACAACATCGAAAAAGTCAGGTTTTTTTGCGTGACTTTCAGCATTTTTCGGACATCTCGATAAGAAAAGCATATTTTTTGAAAGGAAAAAAAACTAAACTGAGATAGGGTCTGAAGTATCTTAGGTAAAATTTTGAGTTCGATCGGACCATTTTTTCAAGGGGTCGTAATGTTACTGGATGAAACTGGAGTTTTCCAGAAAACCCATAGGAGAACATGTCAGAAAATTCTGGGCAAAAATACATCGATTTTCTTTTTCGATGTTCTATCTCTGGTATAAATTTCACCCCGATCCGACATCGGCTTCCCCAGTTTTCAAGAGGGTCAAAAAAGAGGGGAGGGGAAGGGTACCCTTGATATAACAGAGCTGTTTTTGCCTATTTGTAGTAACGACTCTATAGTTCAACCTCTTTATTTTATCTTTTGTTTCTCTCTAAATACATTTTAATATCTTAGACTAATGCATATTAGTTCTCGATTAGCTTATTTTGTGAATAATATATACACATGTTTTATTATGGTAACATCTAGGAGTTTGCTTTCTAACTCCTACCCCCAATTAATTTTTTCCTTCTTATTTCTGTTGCTTTGAGGAGACAATGAACATTTCGGGCTTTTCTTGTACATTCTGTAACTTTGCAAAGAAAGGTCATGTAGAGCTGGGCTATGTTTCATTTTAATAAGAAATGTGCGCGCTACAATTATGTCTTGTTAAAAAAGGTTTCGGTTATTTTTTAGAGTTTCTGAAAAACTGGTTTTCCAGGCCGGATCTTCGAAGAGCTATGAGGATCCCGCATGGTCATATTCGAAATCAGCATGGTTGATAACCTATAACCCACTAGATTTCGATCAAAAAACGATGTATCACCTCGGGGGGTTCCCTCGTGAGTAGCGTTGTAGTGGGTTTGTTTTAATCTTTCAGAATGACATACGGCTACTGGGTGATAAAATTCGATTTTTTGTTTGGGCTTTAGTTGAACTGTGTGAGCGATTGAATAAATTCGTACAAAGCTCGTATCTCTATTAGTACAAAATTGATTGCGCGCTTTTCGATATAAAATACTATGGACACAGTTGAGTTAAGTAGTAAGTCATAAAGAAAATGAAGCCTATTAGAGAGCAGAAATACTTACAGAAAAGCCATAATTTCGTTTCCCTGGATATTCATTTCCCAATGATTAAGGACTGTTTCGTTAAACATTCTGTAAAACTTTCATTTCTGACTTCTCGTTGGTGCTCACGGCTAAATGACTAACGTCTATTCTTACTGGCCGTACCGCTGTTGGATCAAAGTAACTGGCTCAAAAGATGCAGCGTCTGTCACGATTCTTCTTGATTTACAGCTGTTTTAGAGCATATTTGTCGAATTTGCTTGGTTTTCTTTTTGTTGCTTAGTGGAACAGAAATCACGTCAGATGGCATTTCTACTGAACTGCACTGAACTGTATTTTTATTTTTGCAAGTATGGTTGCCACAAAGGAGGCGCAGCTTACGCTAATGCAACACCGAAAATAGTGAAGAAATAAAGAAATACTAAAAGGCAGAGTTTAATAGAACATAACTTCAATCGAGGGGCACCATTTTATGATGCGCCATTAGTACTACCTCTAGAACACATAAGCAGAGAAAAAGGCAATATAAAGGGTGTCCAGAAAGTCACTAGAGTTGCAGATGTACATATTATGTACATCGTCGCATTTGAATATGTCAAGAGAGCGTAGATGAAAGCCATTGAGACTTACGAGACCACTAATAGCCAAACGCTAATAGCCAAACGAACGAAGTTCCTCGAGCTTTCGAAAATATATCGCGCTTTGTGCCTGAAATGGAGTAGCGTTCATTAACACCGGAGCCTTCTTCGTTTGCTGGTGTCGGAAGCCCAAACGTTTCATCTCCCTCTGTAGCGACATTTTCGATTTAATGGGAAAGTGTTCATCCTGAGCCAATAATGCCGATAAAATATTTTCCAACGTGGGATACACCCTGTCTTTCAGTAACATATGGAACGTAAGTCGAATGGTGTCACTTTGCGTTTCGGTGAGAGTAATACGACGACGACCACCACCACCTGCACCACTGAGAGTTGATAATGCCCGAGGAATAGCGGAGGACGACGACGAAGCAGATACAGTACGACGTAACGAACGACGAGTACCCGATTCATCCTCTTGCATAGCCACAGATTGTTTCATTTCTGCTTTCAAGTAATAAATCGATCTGTCGGATATGCCAAGAATCGCTTGAAGTCGATGATTAACGTTGTTCAACGGAATAATTACGCCAGCTTTCTCTTTTTCTACGAAATCAATCACCCGGTATGCAAATTGTTTAAATTCTTTCGAGAACTGCTTCGCCATTACGAGTAAAATAGCAAGAGAGTGAGTATAGAGCGTGTTGATAGCATGCATTTGTAGGAAGGAGAAGAGAGGAGAAATGAATAAAGTCTATTTTTTGTCATTTTTCAGCAAAATTGATACGAAAAGTAAATCTAGCTGCTGAATATGGTGTCAGAGAAGGAAACAGGCATTGCCATCGTGATCAGCACCATCGATTACCTATTTGGAAGTTTTTTCATCGAGTTTTAAAAGAAAAAAGTTTGCTTTTGAGCACCTGCAGGAAATCTGCTACCCTGGCCAAACCGTGCAATATCATGCGCCCGCTTGACTCCCGTTTTGAAGAGGACACTTCGGGCTACAAAACCGTGTAAAAAAACGTTGGGGTTTCTATAAGACTTTCGGAAGTTATGAGCTGGTTTTCCAAAGACCCCTTGAAAAACCAGGTTGGAAATTTTTTTCAAAACCTATTTTCGCTTATGAAAAGATGTCTTAAAGTGTCCTCTTTCTAATGCTGAAAACCGCACTTCATTATCTATCTCCTGCGAGGAGTTATTCAAAAAGCAACCGACTGCACGACCATTTGGCACGGATAGTAGTACTACTAGTACTAGTACTAGAATCAATAGTACTAGAATCTTAAAATTGTTGAATTGTAGAATTTTGAAACTATAGAATTTTAGAATATGTTTTAGATTATTGGATATTTTAATTTAGAAAATATCATTGAGTTTGTGTTGATACAAATTAAAGAGCAGTTAAACAGAAACAACTGAAAATAGGTATGAGGTATGCATGAAAAAAGGAACAACATTCCATTGAAATCTCTTTGTTGAAATTGTCTTTTGTTTCTGTATTTGAAGGATGTTAGATGTTTAATCAAAAAATCACAAATGTTTTCTATCGACACCGAAAGTATCGTAGCAGCATTCAATGATCGTATAAAAGCAGGAAATCAACAAAATCATCCTGCTCTAATTCAAGTAGCAATGAAAATACCAGATTTACCAACAACAGATGTGCAATTTGTCGTGTTATTTTTCCAAATTTTTATTTCAACAACAATAGATAATAAGTCATTGCCAGATAAAGTTGAAGAATTATTAACAATGATTTTTGAATGTGAAAGGGAAAAACTGTTTTGTGGTGAACCAAAAGATGAGATGACATCTTTGAAAGTACATTACAAAAATAATCTATTTCAACGTGGTGAATTAAAAGCAATTTTTGATATTCGAGAATTATTTCATGGTAAGCCTTAGATTCTAACTGGAGTACTTAATTGTTGTTGTTGTTTTTTTCAAAGAAAAAGTTCGTTATGAAGAAAAAACCGGGCAACGTTTATTTGAACAAGAATCGTCAGTATTTTCTGCAGTGCCAGGAGCTCTGGTAGTGGATTATTCTGACGACGCTTGTTTCAATTCGGATGCTGTAGTACAACCTTGATAAGTTATTTTCTTTCGCAAATAACACCTGTTTTCATATACTGAATTTTTTTCCTCCATATGAAGAAAAAATAATATTATTATTGACATTAATATAATAAAAGATATTATGGTTGTTATTAGTGAATATTCAAGATATAAAATGAAAATATTTAAAATAACACCAAGTATAAATGTAATAGTAACGTCAATTAAAGTAATCGTTGAATTATAGCGATTACACCATTTTCTATAAATATTGTTACGAATAGAATATATTGAGATTAATCTCACGATTAAAATTAATAAGCTAACAGGATATAAAACTACAATTGTTATTATACATAAATAATTTATTTGATAATAATCAATAACAGAACATTGAGTAATTAGTACAGATTTGAACAGTTTTGCTTCATACGAAGGATCTAGATGATAAATTATAGATAACCATAATAAAAAAAGGGAAAACAACGCCGTCCAACATGAATTAAATACATATGATTTATCCCATTTATAAAAATTTGACACTTTTTTCAATATTTTTTTTCCGTCTTCATGAAGTTCAAAGGCTACGAAATCAAATAAGATGAATGAAATTGTTGGAATAATAATAATAGATGAAAATACACCGCTAAAACATTTGATGTTCTCGTCAAAAGACTGATTAGACATGGTGAGCGAGGAAGTAAAAAGATTCAGGATGTAATGCTGTTGATAACTGGACGTGTAGCAGTGCTTGCCAAGATACTTTAAGAGAAAAAAAATAAAAGAATAGGAAAGCAAAATAAAATTAGTTTATCTCTGTTGAGCAGAGGTCAAATAGAGTTCATCAATTCCGTATGATATCAAATTTTCTTTCTCTTTCTTGCAGAGCGATGATAGATTTGATACGACCAAGAATAGAACGACACTCTTTTGGTAATCATCCTCACAGAAAGAATGGTTATAATATCTTATTTTATCAACAAGAACGGCTGCTCAAAATAGTTACATAAAGAAAATTCAAAAGAAAGGGACCGTTTAAATATTTTAACAAAAGTTCTTTCTTCAAATTAAAACTTTCTTTCCGAACTCTAATGGATGACAAGAAAAACTACTGAAACAGTTGATTACATTCAGTTCTGTAAATATTTTGAGAATGTTTGTATGTGTTTTGTATTGCTGTATGCATATACACATTATACTACTACTACCATATTGAACTTTTTTTCTGTTAAATAGACAACAGGAATTTGTAGTGTCTGGAAATCTCTGTCGAATGACGTATTGCTTTACCGTTTCCAGTAAACCGTTAATTTGCAAATAAAAGTGTAAGGCACCAGAGTGATATTAATTAGTATTCATTAGGATTGATTAATCATAGATTATCGTCTTAAAAAGACGTTTTCCAAATTTAAAAAAAGTTAAAAAAATTTGAATGTAATTCAAAAATCCAAATTGGTGGAATCGTCTTTTATTCAAACTTCCCCATTCTGTCAGAAATACGATGATCACTTCAAAAATGTTTCATGTTTAAACGTTTTGACGTTAAAAGTCATTTTATTCTGAACAGGTCGAACAAAAACCACGATTTCCTAGAAACCCTATTTTCGAGCAATTTGGAGGAAACTTTCCGCTTAACAGAAGAAAGAGCATAGTGGAAGAAGCTTTCGTTTATTTTTATCTATTACGTAGGAAAAACCTTGTCAGAGCAGTCCCTTATGAGGCCAAAATGGTGAAACTTCTCAGAAGTTGTTGAATATTTTAAGATAACGTGACCACCAGTTTAAGACGCTGCTGACCATCAGGGAGGGAGAGGTTGAAAAATGGCCAAAATCAAGGGTTTTCGAGTATAAACTTTAGCTCCTTTTTCTTTCGGAGATATAGCAGGAGTTTCACCAAAAAAGTGAACAAATTCGCTCAATATCATAGACTAAACTTAGTTGAGAAAATTCATTTTTTCTAAATCAGAGGCGCAAGAGCTGGAATTCTGCCCGTAACTCTCAATTTTTGCCATCTGAACTCAATTGCTGCAAAATTACAAAACTTCAGTTGCTGAAAAATGAATTTTCTCAGCAATGAAAGGGAATTTCAAAAAAAGCAATGTGTACTTTTATTTTACTTCAAATGCCGATTCTAATGGCGTGTGAATCAAGGTTCAGATCTTACCAGAAAAAACTAGATAGGTTTGCCAAATTCGGTATTGCAAATGGAGTAATCCTGCAGCATGAATTTCCGGAATCGATACGTTATATTCGATAAGACTCTTAACCACGTGTCTAGACTCATTTTATTACGAGGAATCCGAAAATCATATTGGTGAGAGCGAAAAATGCAATGATAAAGAATTAAACGTTATTTTTCCATAAGTCAGCCTTTTCCGGATTTTGAGTAGCTCTCGGTATTTTGCATTTTTCTCCGTGAAAACTTTGTTGAAACGATAAAATAAGTACCCTTTCGTGATCAGCAGCCAAAACTGAACCTAGAGATGTGTGTTTAAGCTAAAAATAGAAAGTGCTGTAACTTTGAACTACTGGCGCGTTATGTGGGTTATGCTGAGGCGTTTTTTTCGTTGAACAATTTATAAATAAGTATTATTCTGCACGTAAGGAGGCTGCGTGATCAATGACCAGGCATTAGATTCAGCATGATCAGAAGTCTATATGTTGGCATTTTCAGAATGTTCGGTAAAGCTCTGGAAACAGTAGAATATTTTCTATACAACGCCCTTTACGGATGATTATAAACTTGCAATTGTTTTTATCTTTTGAAAATAGATCAACTGTTCATAGATCTAAGGTGGCTGATGATAAAATAATTTTTATTCTAGAATCAATTTGCGGATATAATGATGATTGTCATGCTAATACAGCTGAACATAAATCAATGTTAATTGGAAGTTCATGTACTTCGTAGATAAAAAAGATCAAGCTATTTATTATTATTTTGGATTTGCAACTGTATTACTAATTCATCCCATTGTAAATATTCACGTAAGAGGCCATCAGTTAAATATGTGATTGGTCGATTGATTTTGTATGAGGAACCGCCAACAGATCAGCCACTTATGTCAGATATTTTATCTGACATTTTGGGATAGTAAATTGCATGGTAAACGCCTTGGTTGTGTAATATAGATTTTTTGATAACCATCAGCAGCTAATAATGCTAGTATTAATGTTGATTTACCGCTAGAGGCCGTTCACACAGGACTACCAGCAAAAGAGCCATGAATTCAGACACTGCCTTTTAGAGGTTTGGATAATGGTGAAACACTTGCAATGATGGATAGCATCGAAAAAATAGCAACATTATTCCCAGAATTAAAACATCAGCTGATGTTCTGGAAAGAACGAGAAAAGTTGTTTCAAGTTTTCAATGATAATTCAGTTTCCAGTATTGATTCATCACCTGCTATTCCAATAAATTCTAGTTTACCTGATTCTCCTCTCAGATCAATGAATAATCTTTCAACAAACGATTGTATGATTGATCAGATGTTAGGAAAAGCAACAATTAAACAAGAAACAAATTTAATTTTTCCTGATGAATATACAATTCCAGTATTACCAAAAGCTTTAGTCCAAGATATAGAAACATGTTTATTACACAAATTTGGACCACATCATACCAATCGACAAATACTTATTGATACAATAACTCATGATTTAATAGAGAAATACAATCTTTTGTAAGTTATGCTCGGGCACAAGCTATCTAAATTGATATAAAGTAAACACACATGTTATTCTCTTTAACTATTATCTATATATACCAATTTTATAAACTGCTTTTTTCAACAAATAGAAGTTGATATTACTACTATGAGTACGATTATTTCTAGCATTGTTTCTTTTGGATTATCTCAATCCTTGACTGTTTGTTCGTGGTTTCATTGAAAGAAAGCAATTTTCAAGTTTAGATTACTTTCTAAACATTT